GGCTCCATCATCTACCACCCCTCCATCCTGCCCCTGCACCGTGGGGCCTCCGCTATCAACTGGTGAGTGGCGGGACTGCCCCGGGGCAGAGCGCACAGGGCTGCAGGATAAGATAAGATCACTTTATTGGCCAGATAAAATTTCTTGCATGAGGAATTTGTCTTTTCACAGACTCCAGCTTGCTCTCCATGAGACACACAGACAGGGAGAGAAGCTTGGGGTCAGAGCGCAGGGTCAGCAGTTTATGCCCCTGGAGCAGCTGGGGTGAAGGGCCTTGCTCAGGGGCCCAACGGAGTAGGAGTCCTCTGCCGCCCGCGGGATATGAACCGGCAACCTTCCAGCCACAGGCGCAGATCCTGAGCCACAGAGCCACCGCTCCGCCCTCAAACTCATGGTGACAGCTGGGTTTGAACCCCTGACCTCCAGCATGCAAGGCACATGCCTTACCCATTACACCAGCGCGGTGTAAACCCTCGAGGAGGGGTGCCAGCTGAGCTGTTGGTGTTTTAGACACCAGGTGCCTGGCCCTTCTGCAGACCCCCGGTTTTACTCTGCTCTGGGCACAGTTCTACAGATCAGTGGCAGGGCCAGATTTAGGTGTTCGTAGGCCCTGGGCACTTTCACTCTGAAATGTGTAAAAAGAGGGGTAAACGCCAATTGAATGACGCCGATTGACATGATGCACTTTAAACTATTCTCATGCTAGACCACCTGATTGATGGAGCGAGTCGAGTGACCGTCACTTCGACACTTCTAGTTTCTAGAACAGCCGCTAGATACTGTATGGTGATTGATCCGGAGCACCTTGAGTCGAATCGCAAGCAGGTTGTTTCAGCTTGTTTCTCGTGAGTCACTAGTGTCTCCCTCCTTCGTAGGCCCTAGGCACTGTGCCTACAGGGCCTGATGGGAAATCAGACACTGATGAGCTGCATGTGGCTTTTGATGTATAGACACATCTGAAACAAGAAACCTGAAATATTCTCAGACAGCATAGTGCCTGACTACTTTAAAGCAAAGCTAGAGTCTGAAAAGAACAATGTTTCTTCAGGTGCGTCTCTCTGTTTTTAAGGTGGATGATTTTGTGTTGCGGTGATCAGAGAACTGCCGGCTAAGTGCACATCTCTGCAGTCTGCTGGCTG